GTTGAGTTGGTAAACCAACATTAGAAACACTAAAAGCATTACCGCCTTGTGTATCTAAACCAAATTCAGCTTGAGGAACAGCAAAGTTAGAGGCATCTAGAGAAGTTCTGCTGTCAACTGTACCCTGAGGGGCACCGGAGGCAAGTGCATCCTGAGGGGCACCAAAAGCAGCTACATCCTGAGGAACACCAAAACCTACTGCACCCTGGGGTGCACCAAAACCAACTGCACCCTGGGAGGCATCAAAACCAACTGCACCCTGGGAGGCATCAAAGCCAACTGTACCCTGGGGTGCACCAAAACCAACTGCACCCTGGGAGGCATCAAAACCAACTGCACCCTGGGGTGCACCAAAGCCAACTGCACCCTGGGGTGCACCAAAGCCAACTGCACCCTGGGGTGCACCAAAACCAACTGCACCCTGGGAGGCATCAAAACCAACTGCACCCTGGGGTGCACCAAAGCCAACTGCACCCTGGGAGGCATCAAAGCCTGTTGCATCCTGAGTGACATCAAAACCTACTGCACCCTGGGTTACATCAAATTCAACTGGACCTAGAGGAGTACCAAATCCTGCTGCATCTTGAGGAGCACCAAAGCCAGCTGCATCTTGAGGGGCACCAAAGCCAACTGTGTCTTGAGGAATACCAAACCCAGCTGCACCATGGGGAGGACCAAAGTCACCTGCAACCTCAGGAGCCCCCAGAGCAGCTGTATCTATAGGAGCTCCAAAACCAGCTGTTGTCTGAGAGCTAGGGAAGGCAAAATTTGTGACACCTTGAGTATTTCCGAAACTCGCAACTCCTAGGTTGTTGCCGAAACTGGTTTGCACTGGACCTAAATCATCTCTAAGAGCACCAAAGTTAGCAACAACTTGAGGTGTACCTAAGGCACCTGGAGTGGCCCCAAAGTTAGCAACAATATCAGGGGCACCAAAACCAGCTGCTGCTTGAGGGGCACCAAAACCAGCTGCTGCTTGAGGGGCACCAAAACCAGCTGCTGCTTGAGGGGCACCAAAACCAGCTGCTGCTTGAGGGGCACCAAAACCAGCTGCTGCTTGAGGGGCACCAAAACCAGCTGTTGCTTGAGGGGCACCAAAACCAGCTGCTACCAGAGGGACACCAAAACCAGCTGCTTCTTGAGGGGCACCAAAACCAGCTGCTGCCTGAGGAGCACCAAAACCAGCTGCTGCCTGAGGAGCACCAAAACCAGCTGCTGCCTGAGGAGCACCAAAACCAGCTGCTGCCTGAGGAGCACCAAAACCAGCTGCTGCCTGAGGAGCACCAAAACCAGCTGCTGCCTGAGGAGCACCAAAACCAGCTGTTGCCAGAGGAACACCTATACCAGCTGTGGTTTGAGGTGCACCTGAATCAATTGCAACTTGAGGAGCACCAAAACCAGCAGCAGGTTGAGGAGCACCAAAACCAGCAGGTTGAGGAGCACCAAAACCAGCAGGTTGAGGAGCACTAAAATCAACTGGAGTTTGAGGAGTACTAAATCCAACAACACTCTGTGTATTATCAAAAGCGGGTATCTGTGATTGAGCACTACCAAGTCCTGTCTCACCTCGGACAGTGATAGATGGGAAGGGGCTTGGTGTAGAAACTCCTTGGAAGCCAGAGGCACCATGTGATACTCCTGTTACCCCTGTATCTGTAGGTATTGGGGATCCAAATTCAAATCGTTGAGTGTGGAATTCAAAAGTAGGAGTTGTATCAGCAGGAGTGACTGCTGGGGGAGCAGAGGTGAATGTTGGGGCAGGGGTTGTAAACGTTATGGCAGTGGGAGCAGTAGCAGGAGCTGGTGTAGTGAATGTTTGTGAAGCAGGGGCAAATGTTTGGGCAGATGTGAAGAATGTTGGGGGAGGAGTAGTGAAAGAAGGAGCTGTTGGGATGAAAGGTGGGCCAGCTTGAGTAGGTGTTTGGGCAGCAGGCCTAGGCTGTTCCTGGACAGGTGGAGTTGGAGGTGGTAGACCACTTTGGGCACCATGGGCAGCAGCAAAGGTAGTGGGGGCAGGAAGAGAAGGACTATGAGTTGGAATAGGCAGGCCTGCTTGGGAAGGACTAGCAACTGCAGAACCACCTATTTGAACATCAGAGTGAACAGGTGTTGAGTGTGGTGCTACAGGGACACCATACAAAGTAGATGGATGTGGGGCTGGAGCAAAAGGCTGTGATGCAACAGCTTGCCCACTGACAGGCGGTTGGGCAACAGGTTGTGGAGCTGGAGCAACAGCTTGACCACCAACTGGTGTACCATATTCTGTGCTAGGAGCAGGTGCAGGTGTAGCAGGCTGTGAAGCAACAGCATGACCACTTACTGGTGTACCATATTCTGTGCTGGGCTGTTGTGGTAAAGACACTGGAGCAGTAGGCTGTGATGCAACAGCTTGGCCACCCACCGGTGTACCATATTCCGTGCTGGGCTGTTGTGGTAAAGGCACTGGAGCAGAAGGCTGTGAAGCAACAGCATGACCACCTACTGGTGTACCATATTCTGTGCTGGGCTGTTGTGGTAAAGGCACTGGAGCAGTAGGCTGTGAAGCAACAGCATGTCCTGCTGATGGTGTTCCATAGCCTGTACTAGGAGCTGGTGCAGGGGCAATTGGCTGTGAAGCAACAGCATGTCCTGCTGATGGTGTTCCATAGCCTGTACTAGGAGCTGGTGCAGGGGCAATTGGCTGTGAAGCAACAGCATGTCCTGCCGATGGTGTTCCATAGCCTGTACTAGGAGCTGGTGCAGGGGCAATTGGCTGTGAAGCAACAGCATGTCCTGCAGTTGGTGCACTATATTTTGTACTGGGTCGTTTTGTTGCAGTAGGTGATACAGCAATAAAAGCATGAGTTTCAACTCTTGGTTGTAAGATGACTGGTCTTTTAGAAGGACTGGAGCCAGCATTCACTTGCTTTGGGCCTGAGGCTGTGAAGAAGTTAACATTACCAACTGGGCCAGATGGAGGCTCATACCCAGAACTGCCACTGATTGATTGGACCGTGCCACCTGTCAGCTTGGACAGTATCTGGGCAATAGCTTTCCCGAGAGATCCCGACGAAGCCTCATCAGCACTTATTGGGACTGCACTGGATAAATCGACATCATTCTTTCCATTGGTAGAAGCAGAGTGTGATGAGGATGGAGTGCCATAGGATTGTGAAGGCACTTGGTTTGGTAGAGATGGTGTTGAAGCTGGCTTTGCTGCAGACCCATCTAAAAGGAGGGGATTCTCTGGGATCGGGTAAAAGTATCCTTGGAAGCCAGCGCCAGCTGCTGATTTTACAGCGCTTCCTCCAGTTGCTCCTGCTGAAGACTTAACACCACTACCACCAACTGCTCCTGAGGACCTGACACCACTGCCACCAAAAGCTGCTGATGACCTCAAACCACTGCCACCAAGTGCTGCTGAGGACCTCAGACCACTGCCACCAAGTGCTGCTGAGGATCTAACAGCACTTGTGTCAATTATCCCAGCTGGGGGCTTGACTGAGATTCTAATTCGTGGCTTAGCATGTCCTGTAAAGACTGGGAGTCTGCCACCATTTCTTACAGTAAACCCAGGGCGGCCACCATGGGAGCGTGCACGAGAGTTGCGAGAAATGAAGAAAATTTTATCTTCAGATGAGTCGTCTCCATTGTTCCTTAGAGGCTTATCAGGGGCTGCAACAGTGAGGCCTGTGTGAGAAGAAGGGGTGAAATTAGATAATATAGTCTTAGGAAATAAGTTATGTAACAAAAACAAGAAAATTTGGTACACAGTTACGGACTAAACATCTATCAGTTGTCAGAGAAATTAAATATTCTGAAGCTTTACATGACCTAAGGTGGAGCTATATATGTGTGTAGTTATGGCCTTGAGTACACACCTACCACTTCAGACCCAGGTTGTTACTCAACAGAACTTTATTTCAGGTTATTTGTGCACAGCAGGTCATTTTAACCTTGTCCTAATAAGCTAAGATAATTAAAAAAAAATAAAACCAGTATCAGCCAAACCTAGACTCTTGTAATTGTTGTACAAGTTTTAGAATTTATTGTTGCATTCCTTACCCTTTGACAAGTTTGCTCTTGTCTGCCAAGGCAATTCCCTGATTACTGTAGTCCTAACCTAATTTCACTGATCAAACTGAAAGATTCCTTGAAGGTCATGAAAGTTATTTCATATAATTTTTTTTGTTCATATAAGACATTTTGATTTAACATTATTAAGGAAACTTATTTCCCCTAGAAAATGTCTCATTCTCATTGGTTTAAGGAAGAAACAAAAGGTTGATTAGTTCTCTTACTCCACACAGACATTGCTCTGACGGAAAGAAGGGCAAAAATTGGTAGTACATGCAACAAAAGGACGTCTCAGGAACGGTCATGATTTAAGAGACTGTCAGGTAATAACAGTGATCACAGACTGGCAACAGCCGAAACACATTAGATTTTACTTTATAAAGCAGTGGTACAAGAGTTATCGCAGTCATATACCAAATATCTTTTGTTTTTTGGTGAGACGTTAGGCTATAGTAATTCGAAGACCCGTGCTTAACCCCGAGCTTGATCTCTGGTGTCCAAGGTGATTTTAAAGATTTTATATTTTTTAGTACGTTTTATATGCAATTTATATCTATGTATCTATATATGTGTGTGTGTGTGTGTACTTGAACTCCGCTCACGCGAAAAACGTTAAGCCGTTTGGTTGTTTTTCAGAGAAGAAAAGAAAACTTGCGGGAAATAAATTTAGCAAAATGATGTTTACTGCATTTCTTGCTGTTTTTACCCTTCTTTACGTTAGTTACCAATACTTCTTTGGAACAGAAGAACGTAAACTCGTAGAGCTCCTTATTTAAAAAGACTAAAGTAATCAGCATTTTCCTGCTTTCCTTAATACCGACGGGCATGGCATGTACGTGCATGCCATGCCCACTGTGAATTTACTTTTTTCATTGTTTTTACACATAGATGACTACACTTGTACTCAGTCACCAGTGAGCCAATTACAAGTACTGCCTGTCTCGCCCGTTTACCCCTTTCCTTGATTTACGAAAATATTTTACGTTATCTTATTTTGCTGTTATTAATGTTTATGACATTATGGTAATTATATTGTCAATAACAAAAATAACATCATCGATATTCATAGGTCACAAGGTCTGCTAATTGACTCCTTTGTGGTTAAGCACTAGCAGAGCCATCTATGTGCAGAGACATTTCACAAAAATTAAAAAAAAAGTGAGCACAGCATTTTCCACAGCGGCATAATGTTCCTAAACGCAAGCACACATACACGCACAGACAAATACATGCACACAACATGTATTTGTCTGTGTATATGTATGTATGTATGGCATTATGCCCTTAAACACACGCACACACAAACAAGCACACATGCACACACGCTAACGTTTACGCCACTACGGCGACTTCCCCTACGGCACCTGCGTTTGACCTCTCTAGGCGATATGCCGTTTTCTGGCCGTGAAATGGGGCACTCAAAGCGCAGGCGTGTTACAGCTTTGTGTGTGTGTGTGTGTGTGTGTGTGTGTGTGTGTGTGTAATGTTTTTATGTATGTATATATACATATATGTATATGTATGTATATATGTATATGTATATATGTGTATATATTATATGTATATATATTGTATGTATATATATTGTATGTATATATTATATGTATATATTATATGTATATATATATATATATATATATATATATATATATATATATATATATATATATATATGTAAATATATTGTGTGTGTTTCTGTGTGTGTGTGTGTGTGTGTGTGTGTGTGTGTGTGTGTGTATATATATATATATATATGTATGTATATAATATATATATTTATAAATATATGTGTGTGTGTATAATGTTTTTATGTATATATATATATATGTATATATATGTATATCTATGTATATATGTATATGTATGTATAAATATATATGTATGTGTGTGTGTGTGTGTATATATATATATATATATATATATATATAATATATTTATAAATATGTGTGTGTATGTGCACATGTGTGTATAAGTACGTATGTGTGTGTGTGTGTGTTAGTTTTCGGTAATATGCCATCTGAATCGCTATAAACTCACCTATGAGCGCCAGGAACAGAAGCTTCCGGCACAACATGACGCCGGTCTGAAAAAAAAGAAGAACGCTTAAGTTGGCGAATTCGGAGAGGAAAGGAGACTAACAAAAAAGTAAATGTTTTCGTTAGTTTATTAATGATGTGCGCAAGGTTAGGTCAGTCCAGCTGTGTTTATTAAGACTATCTATGTTTAGTTCAGATTATTTTGGTTGAAAATCCTTTTTAGGCATCTCTGTTTTCAACCTATTTGAGGTCTGTTTGTTTGCCTGAGTTACTGGGAGATTGTATAAATTGTATATCTGTCTATCGTCTTTTCGTAGGATGAATTGCTAAATGACTCCCTATGCAACCATACGTAGCATCAAGAATAGTATAGTCGAGGCGGAAAGCCATACGCCACTCAGGCAGGTAATTTCAGCTATTATCATCTTTATGTACAGGAGCAACAGGCTGTGGTTTCGCTTGTCATGCCCACGGGACGTTCAGCGGTGTTTTGAAATTTAGTTAAACTGTTGCATGACTATTCATTGGTCTGAAATAACTTCACCGGATTTTTCGAAATACAGTGTGTAAGCTTTGGCAATGCGACCTTAAGTTAATATTGTGTAAAAGGTTGTTAAAAGTTACTAGTAATTGCAGTTGTAATTACGAGAACTTTTCCGCATTATTACTTTATATTTGCTTTTTATTACCATCGGCGATGACAGTTGTCAGATCAGTGTGAAAGTATTTTTGTTACGCCATCTTGCAGTTAATAGATCCGAAGAAAAAGCTCGAGTACCAGCTGTGTCTGCCAGGAACGCCAAAGGTCGGGATGACAACTCGCGTCACGTCGGATTGCTCTTGACACCTGGGGAATTTGGTCTGAGAATTACCGCCAGGTTCGGGTAACGCTTGGATATTCCTCGAGGTTGCTGGGGATTTGAGGGCGGGGTTGCAGGGGTTAAGTGATTCAGCCGTGTCGGGGAAAATGGGCGATATTTGCTTCTTTCGCATTTTGTCCTCTCATAACTACCTGTCTTGTCTCTCTCCCTCCCTACCTCTCTCACTTCCCCTCTCTCTCTATCTCATTTTCTTTCCTCTCCTTCCCCGCCTCTCTCTCTCTCTCTCTTCTCTCGCTCCCTCCCTTCCTCTCTCTCTCTCTCTCGTTCTTCTCTCTCTCTCTCTCTTCTCTCTCTCTCTCTCTCTCTCTCTCTCTCTCTCTCACTTTCTTCTTTCTCTTTCTCTCTCTCTCTCTCTCTCTCTTTCTTTCTCTTTCTCTCTCTCTCTCTCGTTCTTTCTCTCTCTCTCTCGTTCTTTCTCTCTCTCTCTCGTTCTTTCTCTCTCTCTCTCGTTCTTTCTCTCTCTCTCTCGTTCTTTCTCTCTCTCTCTCGTTCTTTCTCTCTCTCTCTCTCTCTCTCTCTCTCCTTCT